ACACGTGCGTATAAGTCGCACGTCTGCGATGCATCTGGCCTTACATATATGTCCACATTTGAGTTGCATCTGAAGCGCACGAATGCGATTTAGAAAGCCAAAGCCCCAAATGATCTTCACATGTAAAATTCTGGCCTAAAGAATTTAAAAATGTAAAATTTTGGATATACCAAAGAATTAACAAGGAGGTGGTGTTAATTAACACTTCTTACACAATTAAGACCATCAAGCCTCTATCACAAATTGGTTGGTTAACCACGCCTTTAGGGAAATTTGGATCTATCTTTTAACAAAAGAAGATTTTAAATCCCTAATACTCAGATCCCTTAACCAAAACAGTCTTTTCGAGCTGGCTTTGGTTGCAATGATAATCCCACTATTATTCAATTTGCAACCATTGGTCAACCATGGATAAGGTCAATTTTAAACTTACAATATGCTGTAGAGGTCATTTATGAAATTCTCCTATTTTTTTAAAATCAAACCACAAGTTATTCTTGGAGTCAAAATCAAAGTTTCTAAGAAGTAATGATTTTCTGTATCCGAAGCACAGGCTTGCTATTTTTGAAAAAGGCTGCTACTATTTGTGCCTATTCTTCTTTAACCACTTGCCTCAAAATATTAAAGTTTCATTGCATTTATATTCTATAGAATCTTATAAAAAACTTATTTTTGATTACATTCTCCAAAAAGAACCCTATTCTTTAAATGAGTTTCTAAATTAACCAGTCCTTTGTAATAATTAGTAGGTATTTTATTTATACAATGTTTTATTTTTGCAATATTTTATGTATTTATATAAATTATTCTCTTTAAATACCCAAACATTAATCTTATAAGTATACTTAATTGTTTGTTTGTGTATATCTTAATTTAAATTTAAAATTACTTTAATTATATACCAAAACTTTCTTGACACAATTTTCTTTCTTACTGTGTAAAATATAAAAATAAATTTATTTATAGCCTAGGCTTAAGGTTATTATTATTATTATTATTATTTAAAAAGTAAGGTAATATATGGACGTAGTTCTGCAGAAAAGAACCAATCCAAAAATTAGAAAAAAATTAAGATATTTTGTATATTAACAGAAAATAAGCTAAATTTTATTCAGGAAAAATCTCTAAACTCTATTTTAAACATAAACCAACCAATAAATGTCATCGCACCTGCCACGCACAAATTTTAAAACATGTGACTTTACTGTGAATGTGTATACGAACGCACGTGTGCGATATGCGAAAATGGTCTCATCGCGTGCGCCTAAAACTCACGCGTTACTTAATTTTGAATGCCTAATAGCGCGCACGCGTGAGACCGCACGTCATGCGTTTTTCGTGCGACGCACTATTGTTATCTGGGAAAATACACAAATAAAACCTAATTTATACGTAAAGTGATTTGTGCCCTAAACTCAAACGTAGCTACTAACAGAACATTATTAGCTTATTTCTACGAATTTATTTGCTTTAGAACTTTTTCTCAAACTATATTTTTTAGTTGCTGTTCAACAAAATGTGGTAATATAGGTAAATCCTAGTCTACTTTTTTATAATTTTGTATTGGTTTTTGTTTTGTTTTTAGACCTGAGGATGGCGATGTATTTTCGCCAATGTTGATACCAGATACTCGCAATGCACCTGAACTAAAAAAATGTCTCCTGTCTTTTGTAAAAGTTGCTGATCTAACCAAATTATTTAAGTTTATGCCGCCTGTTGATGTAATTTTTAAAAAACTTCTTTTAAACAACTTAATAATGCTACTGTATTTGCAAATGAGAAAAAAAAGACAATAATTAGTTGTTGAGTTATCATAAATAATTAGTATTACTTAAGCCTTGTTTTTTTTGTAAGAGTAATTTTTCACCCTAGACTGTTAGAACATTTTGGAACGTTTTGTAAAATTTTGAAAAATAATAAAACAAAAATGTTCTATTAGCAATTCTTTGATTATTATTATTATTATTATTAACATTTTTAGTTAACCAAAATACTAAAATTAAGTGCACTAAGCACTATGCACTAGCTTACTCGCCTTAAGTACAAAATATCTTTACAAACTTCAATAATATTAATATTCAAAATTTGAAAACTTGATTTTCAAAAAATTAGTTTTATTCTATTAGAACAATATAATATTCAACCCACGACATGACAAATGCGAAGGCATAACCTAAAATTTACCTTTCTTATAGAGAATAATACTGCCGTACTAAGCGCAGAAGCGGTAATTAACATAATGGCTGTCATGAGATATTGGTACTTTTATGTTAATAGCTCTGCCAAATCAGTTTGGTAACAGATACCGCTAAAAATAACTTGATATTTCAATCATTAACTGACAAAATACCGATTTAATACCTTATTAAAGTAGAGATTTTTAACCCTAGTTTCATATTACGGGAAAATGTCAATTTCCTTTAAATGTGCAGTTACCGCTTCTGCGCTTAGTACGGCAGAATATACATAGATGTCCATTCAGTGGACGTCTTTTCTGTGGACATAATTTACCCATAAATAGAAAAATTAAGGTTTGCATGCAATATCAATCTTATTTTAGTTTAGGATTTAACTAAAGCTTTACAAAAATGCTCTTGTAATAATATTACCAAACTTTTTAGTATTAAAAAAATAATAAACCGAAAGTGTAGTTATCGGGGGTAATTACACAAGTGCTTAAAAATTATCGATAATTTTGCTTGAAAGCATATTGCCTAAAAAATGCATGAGTTCATTTTCATATTTTGGAAAGTGCCCGACACCGAAGGTGGAGGGCCCTTTCCTCAAAATATGAAAATGACCGAATGCATTTTTTAAAAGGCAATATGCTTGAATGCAAAATTATCTGATTATTTTTATGCACGAGTGTAATTTGTTTAGATAATTACACGAATAAACTAATTAAATCAAAGAATAACATTTTTATTTTAATTTCAACACAAAACTTTATTTAACATTATTCAATAATTGATTCAAATGATTCTTTACCAAAACGTGACATTTAAAATAACTGTCACATTAAAATTAAAACTGACGTTATTTTTATTAATTGCCATGGATACGAAGATACAATGGAATTATCGATTCCTAGTAGACAATTATCGCTGTAATCAAGCGATAATTGTCTTGTAGGCATATATAAGAGGGTAATTATCTTGAGAATCACCCGTATAAGCCAGTTCTGACAGGATATAAGTTATAACCTATAAATATAAGGCAGTTTTTGGAACGATAGTAAATTTTTAGTTTTAGAATATTATTATATATATAATATTATTTTCAGGGTATAGGGGGGCTACATGTTAAATGTACAGACACCAATAACTTTTTTTTATTAAAAAGTGGATAAGCCGAGTTTTGGACCTCCTCACATACAAATGGGATATTTTATTTTAATTACATCTTAATGTTTGAAGGTTGGTTTTTGTTTTGTTATTGCTGTCGCTTCGTGTTAGAGTAGGTCAATTAAATAATTATTGTTTAATTTCAAGATTAAACATCCTGCGGGGCCGGCAAAGGATTCGGGTGGGTAGATGTAGTGGTGGCGCGAATCTCCTGGATTTCTTCTTTTCCTTTCATCAATTCCTCGATGTTTGCAAGGGTATCTAAAGGTCTGAATACCAGCTTTTTTGGAATCGTGGTGGAGTTAGACCTGACGTTTTGACGTTAATAACGTCAAGTTTGCCACCACTGGGCGGGTAAAGCTGGACAATACAGAGATTTCGACTATCTTTTTCTCAGCTTTGTTCGCCGTTTCTGCCTTGTTTTCCATTGGATTGTGATGCCTTTTTAGTGATATGCCATAGTGCACCCGCTTTCTGAAGCGTGACAACTGGTGTGAGGTTGTCGTTTGATGGGTGAACCCCATTTATTCCATTTTATGCCATTTTGACGAAGTCAAATTGTCTTCTTTTATGATTACCATGTCACGTGGTACCATATTAACCTCACTAAATTTCCATTTATATCTCTTTTGAAGTTCATGAAGGTATTCTGCCGACCATACTTTCCAAAAGTCTTTTTTCATCTTTTGAATCAAATTCCAACGGTCCTAGATATCTAGGACAATATTGTCACTTATAGGACAATATTGTTACTTACGTCTGCTGACGTTGAATTTAATGGTGTCATCAATTCTCTCTCAATCAAAAAATGCACTGGTGTTAGTGCACCTCAATCGTTGATATCGTCTGTCAATGGGCACAGAGGACGGGAGTTCAGACATGCTTCTATTTGGCACAATAGCGTGGTTATTTCTTCAAACGTGATGCCTCTGTCACAATAGTGTTGATGTTAATGTTAATGTTAATGTATTACCATTATTGTGAACGAATACACGTATTTTTCTATGCTTTGGATATTAACATTAACATTACCATTAACATTAACATTACCATTAACATTAACATTAACATCAACACTATTGTGACACAGGCATGAGGGTGGTTTCGCCAACAATTCTTTTAAAATAATTTTTCATTGATTTAACGGCCTGATGAGGGAGATAATATTTTTCCTTTCCCTCATCTATGGACGAAACTTTCGTCATGTGTCCCATCTCCAAATATTCTTGAAGAAATTTGGTTTATTCTTCCCTCAGCCACTCATTTCTTGATAGTCTTTTTTCTAGTTATAGAAAGCGGGCTTATAAGCCCGCTTTCTATAACTAGAATATATTCTGACTTTTTTTTACTTAATAAGACATTTTCAGAGAAAAATTTCCACAAGGGCTGTACTTAAGATAAAGGTAAGTAAACCTCTATTCATTATAATTTTTTATTAAAGACAATAATAAATCCCTCTTTAGTTAATAAAATAAAATAATAAAAAGTTTTAAATGTACCTAAAAACATTACGCTAGTTTTTGTGACACATGACATACTTTTTATCTTTTTTTGATTTTATAAACTGGAAGTGATAATTACTTTTTACAAAATGTATATCAAGAAAACTAACTTAAAGGAACAAAATTTAGTTAAAATTATATAATATTTATATTATTTGATTAACTTAAAATACAAATAAAATTAAATATACAAGTCGTCTTAAAAATATTTATTTTATAAAATTATACATTATGAAACTTAATTTATATTTTACTTCTCCTTTAAAATTCTCGGGTAAATCCAAATTTTATAGATGACATATTCATACAAATGTTATTTTAAAACGTTTTTTAATGGATACCATTCAGTTATTTCGCATTGAAAATCAAAATTGCATAAATCTAACTCGACTCCACCCATGAATTCATTTTCTTGGAGAGCATCATAGTTCCAAACGGTTGCCTGCAATGTTTTACTTTGGATTTTGTCTTTGGGCAATCTGTAAACCAACTAAAAAATAAAAATATTATTAGCGAGGACTTTTTAAGACAATTCAAAATAATTTTTAATTATTGTTACAATATTTAATGTTTTTTAATCCTTTTTTATCAATCTACGTAAAGGTTGTCTCGAAAATGGCTTACTAATATTATATGACATATATACAGTGTGTTTCACTTTACTTGGAAGCGCCCCTGTATTTTCTTTATTTTTGTATAAATCGATTTGAATTTTTTATTAGTTATACAACTCACCAATCTATTCATGTCTTTAAGCCCAAAATAAGTTATCAGCCTGGCCTACTATGACCAACATGGGTTACATTTTCAATATTTTGCTTCGCGATAGAGTTACGGTAAAAAGTTGTTTAGAATCAAAAGAATACCCCAGATAAAAACTTTCGTTTAAAAAATCGTTTTTTATTTTTATCCATAAATTTGTCAGTCCCAAATTTCAATTTTAAATTTGTCAATATTTTGCTTTGCGTTAGAGTTACAGCAAAAAGTTATAAAGAAAAGTTGTTTAGAATCAAAAGGATATCCTAGATATGGAATTTTTGTTCATAAATTTTTCATGAAAAAAAATGCAGACATTTTTTAATTAATTTTACAAAATCAACTAACAGATTAAAAACACCAAATTATTTAGGTAATAGCCTCAAAATCAGTTTTAAATATAGTCCCAATGTGGGCTGTCTCCTGCCCAACATGGTGCACCACCTGCAATTTTGTGATGATACACCATTACTTTTTTTAGGAAATTTATATTTTCCAGGAAATTTCCCTGGGCTCAAAAACAGTATTGTAAAGTATTGCAAAATTTTGGTTTAAATGCACTTATAAATTTAATGCTATATCTCTTTCACTAGAACGAGGATTAGCGTGATAAGCCGCCAAAACCATTTCGTCCAAGGGATGTTCTTTAACTATTCTCTTCTTGGTCTGGGTTTAACAACATTTCCAGTTAAATTAAAAAGTTAGTTAATTTTGGAGACAGTTTCATGATGAATAGCACCTGGATACCTTCCATTAAATATTTCATATAACTTCTCTATTGGATCTTGCATTTTTAACAGTAAGTCTAATTATTTATACATTCTCGGCAACAGTCAAACGTAATTCAGCCATTATAAAAATCTAATGACGTTTGCATCAATAATAAAAATACTGTTTCTCCATGACACCTTTTGATACCAAATTAAAATTGAAATTTGGGTAAAAATAAAAAATTCAATTTTTTAAATGAAATTCGGTATCTGGGATATCCTTTTGATTCTAAACAACATTCCTTTATAACTTTTTTCTGTAACTCTAACGTAAAGCAAAATATTGACAAATTTAAAGTTGAAATTTGAGGCACAAATTTATGGACAAAAAAGAAAAATACAAAATTTTAAACAAAAGTTGGTATCTGGGGTATTCTTTTGATTATAAAAAACTTTTCTTTATAAATTTGTTTTGATCGTAGTAGGCCAGGCTGATAACGTATTTTGAACTCAAGGAAATGAATAGATGCCTCATGGTGCACAACTGATAAATTCAAATCGATTCATACAAAAATAAAGAAAATACAGGGGGTGCTTCCATGTAAAGTGAAACACACTGTACATATGGGGGATTCCACGCCAAATCGGATGGTTTCAAAAATTTTTTTTATATTCTTCCAATTTTTTTATATTTTTTAGTACTCCTTGAAAGAGCTTTCTCAGTAAATTTTGAGATTTTTTTTGATCACGGGTTCAAAAGATCAAATTTTCAAAAAAACTGCTTTTTTTTTGTTTTTCGCTCACAACTTCTTAAAAAATGTTCATTCTATATAAAATTTTTGTTTTTAAATGTTCTTTTCGAAAAAAAATATATTGAAAATATTTGAAGCGTTTTAAGACAAGATTTTCGTGTTTTTAAAAATGTGTCTTCTTTGATTTTCGCGAAAAATTTTTATTTTCAACTTCTAACTATTCAGCCTGGTCCGGTAGTGGGCCTTCCATAATTACTATTTTTTTTCGAAACTTATAATTATTTTTAGAGATTTTTTTTTAATCGAAATCGAAAAAAAATAGTAATTATGGAAGGCCAACTACCGGACCAGGCTGAATAGTTGTTGAATAGATAGAAGTTGAAAATAAAAATTTTTCGCGAAAATCGAAGAAGACACATTTTTAAAAACCCGATTTAAACTTTAAAACTCAAAAATCTTGACTTAAAACGCTTCAAATATTTTCAATATATTTTTTTTTCGAAAAGTATATTTAAAAAGAAAATTTTATATAGAATGAACATTTTGTTTTGGACCATTTTTTAAGAAATTATGAGCGAAAAACAAAATAAAAGCAGTTTTTTGAACATTTGATATCTTTTGGACCGTGATAAAAAAATCTCAAAATTTACTGAGAGTGCTCTTTCAAGGAGTACTAAAAATATAAAAAAATTGGAGAATTTTTTTTAAACCATCCGATTTATATCCCATATATACCACGCAATATAATAATAATAATAATAATTCTTTATTTGTCCAAAGATCACAAAGTGATATAGGATAAGTCAAAATAATACATAAAGTAAGTAATACACAACTATTTAAAGAAGTTCAATTTAGATGTATTTATTAAAATTGAATGAATTATATTCATCAATCGAGTAGAAGGCTTCTGTTGTTAGTATAAACTTAATTTTTCTCATATAATTCTTGAAAGGCAAATCTCTGATACAAGCTGGTAATTTGTTATAGAGCTTAGCTCCAGAATAAAAAGGGCTTTTTTCATATAAAGTTAAGTAGTGCTTTGGATAAAGCAGAGTATTTCCGTGCCTAGTGTTATAATCGTGGTTTACGTTTAGGCAAGGGAATCATTTAAATTTTGTTTAACAAATTTTAAAGTTTCCATTATATATAGTGATGGGAAGGTACCTAAGTATTTTTTCATTTATAAAAGTGTTTCTGCATGAGTGCCTGTAAGGTAGATTGTACATGCAGCGAATTGCTCTTTTTTGGATGGTGAATATTCTGTCGGCTTGGGAGGAATTACCCCAAATAACTATTGCATAACGAATTATAGAAATAAAATTTGAATAGTAAAACATTTTAACAATGCTTTGGTTAGTTAGTTGGTGTAATCTTTTTAACGCAAAGCAGTTGCTTGCACATTTTTTGATCTTTAAAAGTAAGCGACGTATCAATATAGACACCTAGTAATTTTGAAATAGTTACTTGATGGATAGATTTCCCGTTGAGTTTTATTAAGGGGCTACACATATAACTGACATTTCGCGGATAAAATTCCACCAAGACAGTTTTTTCTTGGTTTAGTACCAGTTTATTGTAGGCAAAGTATTGCGCTGCAATGTTTAAGTTTATGTTTAAGTTGCCTTAATGTGGACATTTTATCTTTGTTTGCGGATATAGACGTAGTATCATCGGCAAAAGAACAGTGAAAGTTGGATAAATAATATCTCAAATCATTACAGTATATTAAGAATATAATAGGCCCCATAACGCTGCCTTGCGCTACTCCTGTGTCTATTTTTTTATCGTCTGATAACGTGCCAAAAAAAGAATCTTGTTGTTTTCTGTGTCTTAAGAAAGAAATGATAAGTTGTTTGCAAACTCCACGAATCCCGCATTGTTCCAGTTTTTCACTTAAAACATCTGAATCGACACAATTAAACGCCTTCGATAAGTCCAATAGCAACGCCATGATATTATTCTTTTTTTCCATGTTGGTGTAAATGAAGTTTAAAATGTCAATAAGTGCAGATAGAGTTGATTTGCCTTGGCTAAACCCGTGTTGTTTATCGGAAAGTATATTGTTTTGATTTAAAAAATTTATAAGACGCATGGCTATTAATTTTTCAATAACTTTGGAAAAAATGGACAGTAACGAGATTGGTCTATAGTTACTAATTGATTTAGGATCACCTTTTTTTAGAATGCAAACTACTTTTGAGGTTTTAAGACATGTTGGAAAGCAGCCTTCTGTAAAGCACATATTAATTAGGTAACAGAGAGGTTTGGATATTTCCATCGCGCATTTTTTTAGCAAGAAAGTTGGAAAATTATCAATACCACATGAGTTCGAATTTTTTAGTTTTTGAATTGTATTTACTAGTTTGGGTTCAAGTACTGGCTCAAGAAATAATGAATTTTTTATTGACTTGACGGCTGTTTCGCTTTTTTTTGGCAGTTGTGTGTCATTGACTGTATTTATTAAGTTTTTAGGAAGGTTGATAAAATAATCGTTGAATGCGTTTGCAATTTTTTTCTTGTCGGATGTTTCGATTCCATCCAAAATAAAATTCTTACTTTGTAATTTTGGTTTACTTTTGACAGTACGGCCATTTCAAGCGGATGGACGGGACAAATCACAAAACTGTTTTTATAAAAAAAATTGTAGGTAATTTATTATATATTATTTTTGCATCAAAATTGTCAAATATATTCTTTTATTATTAGGCTATACATTGAATAAAAAAAATCGCAAGAAATATTTTATAAAAGTAGAGATAATTTCAATAATTGACAGGGGTGGACGGGACAAGATTAATCTTTTTTTTGTCCCGTCCACACCTTTCAATTATTAAAATTATATCTACTTTTATAAAATATTTCTTGCGTTTTTTTTAATTTAATGTATAACCTAAAAAGAGAAGAATATTTTTGACAATTTTGATGCCAAAATATTATAAAATAAATAATCTACAATTTTTTTTATAAAAACAGTTTTGTAATTCGTACGTTTCGCGCGCTTGAAATGGCCGAGTAGTGTTGATAACCTTCCAAACGGCCTTTGTTTTATTGTTTGAATTTATGATAGTTTTATTAATGTAGCTTTTTTTTGCTTGTCTAATTACCCGATAATAAATTTGTTTATATGTTTTATAATAGTAAGGATTTATTTCACCGTTTTTTTGTTGTATACAAAGTTTTTTTAGGTTTTTCGCTGAAATTCTTATACCAGGTGTGAGCCAGTTTTTATTTAATATAGAAGTTTGTATAATTTTGGTTTTTAAGGGAAA